TAATCCCCGGCACCACATAAAAAATTTAAAATAAAAATAAAATATATATGTTGTCATATTGTGTGCATGTATGAGACGACAACAAGTCCCACTATTCTGAATAGGTACAGGGCACCAATAAGAAATCCTTTTTTAAAAATTTAAATTCTTAAAACTAAACATTGTCTATCTAAACCCCTGAATGGCCAAACTTTCTCATCTGTTGGAAATTTTCAATGGAAATTTCTCTAAAAGCAATTACAGAGAATCGAGTCCTCCCAAAAGGAGAAAAACTAAAAATCACCAGCAAAATCCAGCCACCCTTAACACTGATGGCCCCGGCCCAGGTACATGCACCAATGCCAAGGCCAGTGTCAGACAAGGCTCCCCTCTGGTACAAAGAGCCTACTCGGCACGGGACAGTCTTCCATTCTCTCTGTGCACATCATCTTAGTCAGTCTTCACAGAAGCCAGCGAGGCAGCTCTAATTATCCTCACTTTACAGATGAGAAGCTGGGGACCCGGGAAGATCAATGGCTTGCCCAAACTGGCACGGTGAGTCAGAGGCAGAAGCAGGATTGAAACCAAGGGCTTCAGACTCCAACGCTCTTTTCTCTAAACCCCACTGCCTCTAAGCTAAATTCCCCCATCCCGGTCGCCCTGAGACTCCACTATCTCTTCATCATCATCAATAAATATTTATCAAGGACCACTGCCAACGCAGCCTCGCTCTAGTTTCCACAGCAACACACTGTCAGAGAGTCATGGGAGTATCCCGTGCTTGAAAGAATGATGCTGTAATGTCCTCTGATCATGGCTCTGAAAGGTGACAGTTACACTACTACAGGCGACTCCGTCTCAGCTGGCAGCCTGGAGGCTGCAGGAGCTGTATGTAGTGAGGACAAGCGAGGAGGAATTAAAATAGAGGAGAAAGATAATGGGTGGTAACGCAAGAAGATGCTCTGCATTACTGTGTCTGTGACTGTTGCGGGAACAGAGTCCAAGCCAGGACTGCGCATTAATTGTTCTTCTATTAGGAAACAAATCAAGCAATCCAGAAGAGAAAGTAAAATTTGACTGTACTGCTAACGGTTCCCCAGAGGTATCCGCCAGTGATTACCCAGTTAAACAGCTACATTGCTAACAACTGCAACCTCAGTCGGTCCCCTTTAAGATCCGGCTATGTCTTCAATCTACACATTCTGAAACCCACTAGTAAATGGACTAATTATCCCCTCATCTGTTTGTTTAACTGCCTCCCCCTTCCCTCACTCCAAATCATGTTTTGCCACACTGTTAACACGCTGTTTTTTAAATGTTTCTGTTTGTTTGTTTGTTTGGGGTTTTTTTGTTTTGTTTTATCATTCCTTACAAAAATTGCCGTGGCTCATGAAACACATGTTAGAGTAAAAAAGGAAATTGCCTTTTGATGACAAGCTTCTGCTTCTGACTTTTGGATACCGTGACCAACATGTTACAGCGAAACCTATCATCCCAACTATGTCTTGGATGTAAGCTTACAAATTGAAATTGCTTTCGAGACTGGGACTCTTCAGATCAAAGCAATATGAAAAACACACCACTGAGTTTTAAAATGCATTATTTACCCAGACTTGCCAAAAGTTTCAAATAAGATACTTTAAAGGAAATCAACCTATTCATCATATTTGTGGTAAGATTTAGATTCCAACAAGACTGTGTTTAGAAACAAAACAAGTCCATTTTTTAAAAAAGTCAACATTTCTGTATCTACAAAAACAGACGTTTATCCAGAAACCCGGAAAAAAAATCTAATTTAAGAGATTTTAGTTAGCATTAAAAACCAAGAAGGAGAATAGAGTTATACACAGAAAATCCCCATTTCTACAAATGAATAAGGTTTAGAATGCACCAAATCCCCAACGCAGGCTAATCCCGCTCCTTTAAGGAGCCCTGGGAACAAACGCAGGCACTTGCTAAATATATAGTAGGTTTGCAGAAGGCGCCCAGCTCAGGTAACCCAAAAGAAACATATGGCGCCTTAACAGTAGATTTCTTCCCAAACTGTACTCCACAATTGCTTTTCTTCCCCCATGTGTTCCGAAGAGCAAACAAAGAAAAGGTGCTTGCTCCTCACACTTCTCTAAATGTTTTAACAAAAGGCTGCTGAATAAACACATTACTCATTTAAAAATTGAAAAGAAGTTCTATTCCTGAGATGAAAGCACCTAGATTTGCATTTTAACAGTTGTGGGCGAGCACCACCTGGCGGTAGCATCCGGAACACTCGTGCGTTCAGCCCCTGGACAGCTTCCCGAGCCCGCACGGGTTTTAGAGCTGGCGACCCAAGAACTGTGAGACCCGTGGTGGAATACGCTTGATCTCTGGTTTTGCCGCGGGACCGTAACTATTACTGATGTGTGATTGGCCAGCCAAGCCTTGGAGGACAGTAAAATCTGAGTCACGAAACATACCCAGGTCCTCGGGACTGCCCCAGCATCCTCCTTCCCTAACCTCCCTTAGTATACTTAACACAAATCCCAAAATGAGGAAACCAGGGGCTGTGCACCATCTTTGGAATGGTGTTGGGGCTGTCTCTCTGCTCTCCCTTGCTAATCCGGCCTTTCAGCTTCACACACAAGGAGCGTCTTCCTGGCCCTGCTTCCCAGCCACGGAAATAGGCTGCCCCTTCACAGAAGTCTGATGTTCAGTTTCCATTTTAGAGAAGGACACTAAAGCGTTTCCAGTGGAATGTCACTACAGTAGTTCTTAATCTCAAAAGCGGGCTGTTTAAAGACGCTACACTTCCCTCAGGTTCATCTTCTCCCCCACCCCGCCCCTCCCCATAATACACCGGCACAGCTGTTGCTTAGCATTCCAAAAGAATCTCTTCCTAGGTCCTGCTTGATTAGCTCCACCGGCCCCTGTGGTCCCAGCTACCTCAGCTGAGCATGGTCACACCAAAGCCAAAGGGTGCTAAGAAACTTCAAGGTGATTTCTGAACTTGGTACACCTGCATCACCTCCTCCCATCTCTCCTACCCTCGACTGCCTGCTCGTCAGGGACTATGGATGGAAGCTGACTGCAGTGGGATTTGGTCATGGGTAAGACCCCATCCGTGGAAGTCTCTTTGCACATGTCAACTTAGCCTTAGGAGCACACCAGCGAAAACTCCCACACTGGGGAACTACTTCTCCCCTACCTCCTAGGGTTTGAACCCAAATATGAACTTTTCAGGCGCAGACAAGCTCACAGGTTAAAGCCACTCCACTTGAAGGGCCTTAACAGGGGGTACCCATTACTCCGAATAAAAGGCACGGGGTAAGGTGGAGGCACTATTGTTTCAGTCATGAATGCAAACACTCCCATGGGTACCTTGAGTGGCTTGCTTGGGGACAAGCTAAGGAGTGCCGCATGTTTTGAAAAAGACGGGGGGCTTACTGTGTGTCTCCTAGGAGAAAAGAAAAGCCACCACCCTGGCAGCCTCGGCCTGCTAGGGACCTGTCCTCCCCAGTTAAAGCGCGCACTGCCCAACGAGCTGCCAGGGAGAGAATATTCTCCCCGGGGCGCCAATGCCGCTTCTCATCTCGCCGCGGCCTCAAATACTCGAGTGACAGATTCCGACAAGTGGGAGGCAGCAAGTGGAAATATTCGCAGCAACCGCGGAAAGTTACTCCAGCCCCGGGGGCCGGCAGGAAAGTAAAGCGAGGAACTTGGCGAAACGCGAGCTGCCGAGGGACGCGCGGGGCCGAGCACGCTGTTCAGGACGCTCCCGCACACCGCGGCCCGCGTCTCGCAGCTGGGACCCGAGCTCGGGCCACTGGGCCCAGCG